AAGGAGCTGACGGAATTCAGCCGTGGCCAGAAAATAGTGGAAATGGAATCTGAACGTCTGATTTCAAGGGTCCAGAACTTTGGGCACAGCCTAGAGAAGCTGAACAGTTGTTAGCCGTGTGGAACGATTCGACATTTTATGTCCGGGCATTTTTTGCAGGGGTCGCCTAAGACCATCCTGCATATCAGATATTTACATGATGATTCATAACAGTAGCAACATTACAGTTATGAAGTAGCAACGAAAATAATTTTATGGTTGGGTCACAACATGAGGAACTGTATTGAAAGGGCCAGAAGGTTGAGAACCGCTGCTCTAAGGACTCCATGTTTTCTTCTTTCTTCCTCTGAAAGTCAGCTCCACAGTGAGACTCGGCACAGAGGTCTGACAGTGGACAAGGAGAGCTCAGAGCTCAGAGCATGGAGAGTGGGGGACCCTGTGCAGCTGAGACTGAGCCTTTCCTCTCCGTCCAATGGCACAGACAGGGCGGTCTTCCCAAAGGCACTGTCGCTGGTGTCCCTTTGGCGTTCACAGGGGTGACCAGGGGCCTCTTCAAGGGGCAGAGATGGGGATGGTCCTTCCCAGGAGGTAGGGAGGCAGGTCTGTCCTACCTCAGACGGGCTTGGAGTCTCAGGACATGATGGCTCCCGGGACAATTTGCCCTGGAAATGGTAGGGGGGCAGGTGAAGAGGTGGGGCCTATTTTAAGGTGTCACCTTGGTTAGGCCGGTTTCTGAACCTTGTCATGCGCAATCCAGGTGTTTCCCCCAAACACTCTATTCCCAGATCTGTTCCTCTTCTACACCAGCTTACCGCGACCAAAGGCAATAATAACCCAGAGTGGTTACAACCCAACTCCTGTAACATGGGCTTCTTCTCTCCTCACTCCCCATCCATCCTTACTCCAAGTCTCTCCAGTCAGTCCCTTCCCCTCCTTTTTCTCTGACCTTCTGTGTTCTCTGTCCTCTCACCACAACAGTGACATCCCCCTGTTGCCCTTTCTCTCTCTTCTCTCCTCATCAGCAAGAGTCACAGAAATCAATAGCAGGCAGTGGCACTCCTTGCCGCACGTCGTCCAATGAGACACACTCTCCTTGCTGGGCCTACTCGACCCGAGTGGACCTGACAAGGGTCTCACTCCCCTTGTCCCTTAGTGACCCCATGTTTCAGTCAGAGTGTCCATCCCTCTCCAGGCCTCAGTTTCACGTGAACAACATAGCGCCCAGACAGTTAGATATCTTACAAAGTGATCACCCCAATAAGTCTATTCCCTACCTGACACCTTACACATAGTTCACTTTTATTTTTGAAGCTCTCAGCATCTTAAAAAAAAAAAGATGTCAGAATAGGGTTACCAAAATGGTGGCATGTTTTAAATATGTCAAGTTCAGGAATCAACTTTTAATAAACAAATGACCACAAAGAATAATCAATCAGACAACGAGAAGATGACTATTACATTAAAATGTTAACTTTCTGGTGCCTTAGTAGGAATAAAACACACATGTATAAATACATAGCATAAACACGTCTACCAATACAGCCTGTGGTGGTGTAAATAATTTAATGTAGAGATCATGTCAAAGACTAATTTTGACGATGTTCATGGGATGCCAGGCCAGGGCCAAACTGTCGACTCTCCCAGGACACTGCACGATGGACCCTGCCACCCCTCCCCACTTCCCACCCATCTCTCCTCGCCCCTGCACCTCTGTCTCCTTGTTTCTCATCCGCACAGCTGCCCTTCCTTAGACGCTTCCTGGCACTGGTCATACTTAGTCCTTCAGACACTAGTTCCCTTGTTCCTGGGTAATTGGAAGTGGTGACAGCTGTCCCCAAGCTCGCTGAACGTGTTCACTGAGGCCCTGGTCTCTCTGCCACTCCCAGGGAGTGAGAAATCAGCAGATCCACATGGTGTTGCTTCTCAAGAAATCTGAAGCCTTGGACAGGAATCAGGTGTGTCTTTGTCTCTCACACCTGCTCCATCCCCACCTCTAGGTTCAGTCTACTCCAGTCTGTGCTGCCCACTGGGCTCCAGACCCCTGGTTGTACCTTGAGCCTGGTCCCTGGCCCCCTGAATGCCTGAGTGCACATCTGGTTGGCCCAATGGAGACAAGGGGTACTCAGATAGCCAAGACTGATGAGCAGGATGGGGCGGGGAGTGGACCCAGCCTGGGGGAAAGGCCAGCAGGATACAATGGTTTTGCAATTGGGGATCAGCCAGGAGGGATCCAGCAACTGAGAAGCAATCCTGTTGGAGAAGAATTATTTCTAAGTCCATGAAGAGGTCCATAGTGAAGATCTGCAGATTGCTTCTGGCGCCATCTGATGGTGGCTTTAAAAACTGCCACAAGCTTGTTCTTCCTTTTTACCCATGAGGTTGGGTAATAGAAATAATTGGCACAAAACAGTGGAGAGAGAGGTTGACTCTGGCAGGAGGAGAAGGAGGGGCTTGAGGTCAGGGAGAAGTAGGTGGGGGCTTTAAAATTCTCAATGATGTTTGAATTCTTAGGCTGAATGGCGGGTACACAGATGTTTATTTGTAGTCCTTCAATGGTTCATATACACACGTTTGTGTAGGTGATCTAGTCATTAAAATGTTTTTTCAGTCTCTGGCAATAAGATGAAAGGGATATAAGGTTCAGGGTGGAGGTTCTGTCTTCTGTAGCCCGAGTGGCTGTGTCTCTGGACAGGACATGGATGAGCGGGGACAGTGGCAGGTTGTCTTAGCCAAACTGTGTTTCCTCACAAGTTGCCCGCTGAGGCCTGTTCACCCAGAGGACAGCACTGAGCATGCTCAGGAACAGGGGCACCTTCAGGAATGTGAGGAGCAGGAAGTGGACACTGCTGAGCAGGGACCTGTGGGGGACACGGTGACAGTGATGCACAGTGACCCACATCGTCACCACCCCTGCCCCCCCATCCAGAGGAGAATCCACCAGGTGTCAAAGTCCTGGGATGTGCGCCCCTTACCGAGGGTGTTGGCTGGCATCAGGCGTCTCCTGGCTGGTCATGCTGGGCCCAGTGGTCACTGGCAGGGAGGAGGGAGGGCCCAGCGTGCTTGGAGGACCCAGGGTGCTTGTGACAGTCTTCAGGGTGGGGGCTGAGGGAGAAGCACATGTCAGGCCCTGGGTCTTCCACTCTGTCAGCTGTGTGGCTCTGACACAAGGTCTAGGTCACTGAGGCCATCCCCTCCATGGCCACAGGCAGGCTGGACCTGGAACCCCTTTCTGGGCCCCCTCCCCGGGCCCCTCTCCAGGAACTCCGTGGCCTGGTGGGCATGTCCAGATGCAGTCATCCTGCTCAGCAGAGGATCTGAGAGTGTGTGGGAAGAGCACCTGGCTCCGGCCACACCCCCACCACAGCCACACCCTTGGCCACACCCCCACCACAGCCACCCCTTTACCCCTTGTCCCGCCAGCAGGGGGTGGGGTGACACTTATTCTGTAGCCTTGACTAGAGTGATGGGTGGCCAGGGCCCTCAGGCGTGGCTGATGGCTCCAGTGAGAGCAGGAAACAGATGTGCCTCAGGGTCTACACTGGATGGTGGGACCCGCAGTCCCTTAGACACTCCTTAGTCTGAATGCTCGAGTCTCCAAAATTCCTTTGTTGAAAGCCCCAAGCCCAGTGGGTGTTATTAGGAGACCAGGCATTTGGAGGTGGTCAGGGCATGAGGGTGGAGCCCTCATCCATGGGATTAGTGCCCAGATGAGGGAGGCCCCTCACCCTGGAGGGTAAAACAAAAGTCTGCACCCAGAGGAGGGCCTCCCCCACATGCCGGCCTCCTGATCTCGGGCTTCCAGCTGTGTCTGAGCTACCAGCGCCCACACTGTCAGCCAGGCCTTCAGCCCACTGGGCAGTCCTCTCTGGGGGAAAAATTAGCAGAAAGAAAGACCTAGAACAGGGGGTGGGGGGCCTTTTCCTGCCAAGGGCCATTGGAGATTTATAACATCATTCGAAGGCCACACAAGATCATCAACTTAAACATTAGCCTGTTCTGTTTGGCCAGGCATTTCATTCACTCACCCCTAATGCATGGGCAGGGCCAGACCCAATGATTTCTTGGGCCTTATACGGCCCTCGGGCCGGACGTTCCCCACCCCTGATCTAGAGACACACACCAGGTGGACCCCATAGAACGTGGCCTGTCCGGAAGGCAGAGGGACAAACCCCTCCCCCTCCCCCAGCCTGAGGTTCTGGGATTTCCAGTTTCTCCCTCTTAAATAGAAAGACACAAAGGCCAGGGAGGGAGCCTCCCACGTGGGAGTGAGAAACTGAGAACTACAAGGAGGAAGTGAGCAGCCAGAGCCACTGCCATCAGGAAGGTGATCTTCACTGGGCTCTTAAGCAACAAGCGCAGCGACCTGTGGAGAGAATTGTGGGGAGAGCAGGCAGGGAGCTGGGGCCATAGCACCTGAGAGGCCATGATCACCTTTCCTCTCCTTCCTGAGGGAGGTATTTTCAGGGGCTCCTCTGGGTTCCCCCTGTGGCTACAAGGCATCAGAGAAAAACGGGGAGGAACAGGGTCAGCCTGAAGGGAAGGGAGGCCCCAGAACATCACAGGGACCTCACACAGGGACCTGGGGCTCCTCTGGGCCCATCTCATGGCAGCTGCAGGCCCCCAGGACCACGGCTGTGAGGGTGATGCCTCAGGAGCCATCCAGGCCTGAGACTCCGTCAGGGCCTGGGCTCCAAAGGGGTCTGGAACAGACTGTGTGTGTGTGTGTGTGTGTGTGTGTGTGTGTGTGGTGCGCATGTGCCCAGACAACACAACACCCACACAGGCTGTGTACTGATCACGGACCCCAACTTCACCCAGCTCTTCAATTCCATGTCTGTCCTGACCAGCGGGTGACCAGGTACAGGTCAGGCAGCCTGGAGCTGGGGCGAGGGGAGGGTGTGTGTGACTCACCTGGGGACACAGACACCTCAACCGGGAAGATGAGGTCTATCTGTCTTTCTGCCCATGGTGTATCGATCCCACACATGTATTTGCCTTCATCGCCCTCTGTGAGTCTCTCCAAGGTCACTGTGAAGGTGAGGTTTGCTGGTTCGTCCCTGATGGAAACACGGCCGATCCTCACTTCTCTCTCTGACTCTGTGGTCTCCACAATCTTCATCCTCAGCGATGGCAAACACGGGTCATTGCACCAGTATTTGTTATGGTCTGTGTACTCCTTCTTGTACCGACACTGCACGCTCAGCGATCCCCCCACGGTGCCCGTCACGCGCCTGGGGCCGCTCAGAGACAAACAGCCTGGAAGACACAGCCCGTCCCGGGTTCTTACCAGATGGGCCAGGGGCAGGGGCGCCCTGGTGTGCAGGTCCCTCAAGAGCCCTCAGGGTCTGGAGGCCATGCCTTTCCTCAGGCCAGGCGAGGGGACCAGGGGCAATAGCTCCCTCCTCTCAGAGGTGACACAGGGAGAGGGTGTCCATGGAGACAAGAAAGGCCATGATGAGAAAAAGGAAGTGTGCGCACAGGTATATGTGTGTATGTGTGTGTGTGTGTATGTGCCTGTGTGCACATGGATGTGTGTGTGTGTGTCTAAGTGTATGTGATGCACCAAGACCGCTCTCTGATTTTTTTTAATCACTTAAGGATATTTTTCCATTGCTTATTAGAGAGAGTGAAAGGAAGGTAGGGAGGCAGAGGATGAAGGGGTGTAGGGTTAGTTGCAACCCTCTCTGGTTGATTGGTTGCCTCCTGCATGAGCCCAGGTACATGCCTTTGATTCAGAATCGAACCTGCGTCGGGCTGACCCTCTAACCCAGCTGTGGGCAAACTACGGCCCGCGGACGGATCCGGCCCGTTTGAAATGAATAAAACTAAAAAAAAAAAAAAAAAAGACCTTACCCTTTTATGTAATGATGTTTACTTTGAATTTATATTAGTTCACAAAAACACTCCATCCATGCTTTTGTTCTGGGCCTCCGGTCCAGTTTAAGAACCCATTGTGGCCCTCGAGTCAAAAAGTTTGCCCACCCCTGCTCTAACCACTGAGCCCTCAGCCAGGGCCCAATTCCCTGGTTATGACCATAAGGTGCTGAGCACAGGCCCCGTCTCCCCAGCGCAGCTCTGTGGGCCCAATGGTTGAGACTCACCTGCTTTGTGCACTGAATCCTTGTGGTTGCTGCTGAGGCAGGTGCTGGCCGCTCCTGGAAGCTTCTCTGCCTCCCCTTGCTCTCCCCCATGTCCTCCCTCCCTCCTGCTGGGCTGCTCCTCACCCTCTACCCACTCCCCCTCCTAGTCTTTCCTCTTTCCCATTTGGGGCCCAGCTCCCCACAGCCCAGCCCCACTCACCTGGGACCTGGAGAAGGACCAGAGCTGAAGGCAGCCACATGGCCCCACTCCTCGAGGTCATGTCTCCGCACAGACACAGCCTGCAGCAGCACCAGGCTCTACGTGCAGACACAGTCAAGCTTCCTCGATGAGGGTTCGATTGCCCTGTGCCCACTTCCGCTTTCCTGGGCCTCTCTGCTACCGTATCCAGTCCAGTTTTGAGTCCGATGCTGGATGGTCAGGGTGCAGGAAGCTTAGGGTCAGGAGCTGCACAGGCTGCTGCAGACCCCCGGCTCTTGGCGCCCTGGGCTTCTGCTCTCAACCCCAATGACAGGACAGGGACCGTGGCCTCAGTGAGGCTGCTGCCCCTTCTCAGAGCACATGGCTGCTCCTCTGACGGCCACACACGTCTCCGCACAGCAGAGCCGCTGGGATGTTTCCTCCTTGATGGTGTCCCCACCCTCTGCCATATGTCACTTCCTTGTAGTCAAGAATGATAGTCCTGGGCTGAAGGCCACACCTTTTCATCCTCTTGGCCTTGGTGGTGACCACAGAGGTGTTCTGACCCCCAACATGTAGCTGCAGGCACCCACGGGAGCTCTGACCCTGTGGGCCCCAACTCTTCTACGACCTCAGATGCCTTCAAAGGTCCCATCTTGGTTGTGGGGTTCCACCCAAGGCTGAGTCCTCTCTCCTGTGGGTTCCCTGCTCACCAACCTCTGAGGACTTCATGTTTTCCTCTTTCTTCTTCTGAAAGTCAGCTCCACAGTGAGACTCGGCACAGAGGTCTGACAGTGGACAAGGAGAGCTCAGAGCTCAGAGCATGGAAAGTGGGGGACCCTGCCCAGCTGAGACTGAGCCTTTCCTCTCCGTCCAATGGCACAGAGAGGGCGGTCTTCCCAAAGGCACTGGCCGCTGGTGTCCCTTTGGGGTTCACAGGGGTGACCAGGGGCCTCTTCAAGGGGCAGAGATGGGGATGGTCCTTCCCAGGAGGTGGGGAGGCAGGTCTGTCCTACCTCAGACAGGCTCGGTAGTCTCAGGACATGATGGCTCCCGGGACAATTTGCCCTGGAAATGGTAGGGGGGCAGGTGAAGAGGTGGGGCCTATTTTAAG